GGGGCGCCGGGCGGGGCGGGCTGGGGCCGCGGGGAGCCGGACGCGTCGGTCCCCGGCACCCGGCCCGTCCTCCCGCTCGCCGGGTCCGTTTGCTAACCCTTTCGAACCCCTCTTCCTCACCCCTTCCGCCGCCCTCCTTACTTGTCCGCTTTACAGCAGTTGCCTCCCAACCCGACCTCTTTCCTCCAGCTCCTGGTGCCAGAACGGTCTTCCCACAACACGGACTTGAGGAGGTCATACCCCCGCCTCGCACCTTCAAGTGGCTCCCCGTTGCCCGCGGGTAGAGCCGAAACCCTTTAACGTAGACTACAGGATCTAAATGACCTGACCCCTTCCTGCCTATCGTGCTCCATCTCTGATGTCTTCCAGCGACATCGAATTACTTCCAGGAATTACACTTCCTGGAAGTTGCTGTGGTCTCTCTCGCCTGCCCTTCTCTGTGTTTGGAATATGAAATGGTTAAAAGCAGGAGCTCTGAGTTCCACTCCTGACGTCACCACCTGCCAGCTGTGTGAACGTGGGCTAGTTTCTTAACTCTGTGAGTCTGTTTCCTCATGTGAAAGCCGGGCTCGATAATAACTCTACTTACCTCTAGAGTTATGAGGATCAACTGAGATAATTCATGGAAAGCTCTTAGCACAGTACTTGGCACATAGGATTCAAAAAATGTCAGCTGTTGGTGATGTGATGTTTATGAATATTCATGCTCCCTCTTTTGATAAATTTCTGTTCAAGTTCAGGTCTACTTCTTGGATAGTTTCTCCAACCCCTCACCACCCCCACCTCCCCTTGCATTGTCGTTTAAGCACTTTCTCTTGCTCTCTCACTCTCTGTTACACTGTGAGTCCCTCTGAAGAGACTGTCATATTCTTCATTATGACCCCAGCTCCCAGAATAAAATCTGCACTGTGAGTCCTTGGTTTGCAGATAGGTCATGCCGTCTTTTCTTTCCCTTCATCGGTGCTGTTCACCCAATTTCATATTACTTGTGATTAGGTTTCGTCTCACTTTCAGGACTAACTGCTTTTATGAAAGCCTAACCACTGAATCCTAAAAATTATTTTACAAAAGTAGCAATTAACTTTTTCTAAGTGCTTCCTCTACCAGATACTGGGCTAAGTGCTTTAAATGCACCATCTCATGAAATTCCTCCAACAGCCCAATGCAGTAGATGCTGTTGGTTCATTTTAAAGGCTCGGAGAAGATAAGTGACTTGCCCAAGGGCACACAGCTAGTAAATCATGGGGTTTTCAGTATTTGCTCCTAGCCACAGGGCTCTAGTCTTTGTACTGTAACATTGTTTTCCAGGGGGAAATTCCTGCTTCTAATTTAGGGGAGAAGACTGTTTTTTCAAGGTGTGACCTGTTTGAATGCTGAAGTTGTAAAAATACCTAGAGATATTGAAACCATGGGAACAAAGTTAATGTTTTCTCTCTCACTTTCCCTCTATTAATTTTTTTTTTTTTTTTTAAAGATGACCGGTAAGGGGATCTTAACCCTTGACTTGGTGTTGTCAGCACCACACTATCCCAAGTGAGCTAACCAGCCATGCCTATATAGGGATCCGAACCCGTGGCCTTGGTGTTATCAGCACCACACACTCCCAAGTGAGCCACAGGCCGGTCTCCGTCTTTTAATTTCGGAGGATAGTTCTCTAGGGGGAGGAGAGTGGAGAGTTTGAAGCTGTATTACAGTGTTGAGTCAAGATATCATTTACTAGATGAATAATCTTGGGTTGGTGGTTTTTCCTCTCTTGGCCTCAGTTTCCCTTGCTTTACAATATGTGGGTGTTTTTGTTTTAGAATTTAAAGCAGAAGAATTTCTTGAAATCCTTATATTTTAAGATTTATTTATTTTGTCTTAATTGGCTGTTATAGATGGAGTCACATTTGCAAGTTTAGTTACCCAGAGTGTATTATGTATAAACCGGCTTGCTCATACAACTAATCTGTTTGCAATATTAAAAGTAGAGTTTGTTACATTATTTTTATTTTATTATAATAAAACATATTATAATTAGATATTAACTAACTGAATATACTTTTTTTTTCCTGAAGGCTGTCCAGTACAGGGACTGAATCCTGGACCTTGGTGTAATCAGCACCATGAGTATACTTTTAACTTTCAAACTTCGATGCAAATGGAATCACATCTTTGCTCATCATGGAGTTCTGCTGCTTGTTTTTGCAGTAGAAAAGCAATAAAGGGCTGGCCGGTTAGCTCAGTTGGTTAGAGCATGGTGTTGTAACACCAAGGTCACGGTTTCTGACCCCCCAAACGCACCAGCTGCCAAAACACAAAAGAAAAGCAATAAAACCCTGAATGAAGAAACCATCAGCATTATAGTAACATGGACATTGATTGTGTTTTCTGAATTTAGAGTTCACCATAGCATTAAAAAGATAAAGAAATTACTCATTTTTAGAAAAGAAGCTGAGAAAAGAAGAGGAGGAACCTGCTCTCTCCCCATACAACTGCTGTTATGTAGAATGTAATGGAACTTTATCTGAGTTCTTGTCATTAGCAGTTTCTGCTGTTTCAGTTTTGTTATCTTCCTGTAAAGGGCAGATTTTTCCAGACGGAGACAAGCTTTTTAACTTCTTGAGGGTAAGTCTACTTCTTGAGAGCTGGGTGAGAAGCGAAGGGAACCAGAAGTGACACTGTGAAAGCCTCCTCCTCGGCTTGCTGAAGGAATCCAGGTTGCAATCATGGGCTGAGACACCCATGTTCTGCAGCCTTTAGGAAAGGGATCTGGCCAGCTCTGCCATGGACACTGTGCAACTTTGGTCAGGTCACTCGGGCCTTGGAATCTTCATTTAGACAATGAGAACCTGTTACCCTAGGTCACTTTCAGTTCTGATGTTCTTTGAACTTCTTTCCTGCATTAAGTCCCGACCATGCTATCTTGTGATTTTTCCAGGTATGGGAGTAATACTCTCAGCATGATGTTTCTGGACCCAAAAGGTTTCCAATAGCATGAATACCTCTGTGTCTACAGAAATGGCAGCAAGCTGAGACTTTAGAAGATTTCACTTAGTCTTTCTATTGAGTAGTTTTCTGAAACAATTCTGGGAGATTGGAGGCTGACCATAGAATTATAGCATTTATAGCTTTTATATTATTGATTCTGCTTAGTAAATATCACATAGGCTGGGGCATTTCTCAGTTTTATTTGTTTGCTTTTTGCCACAGAACGTGTTGTCCAAACTAAATGTAGTGCAGACGAGCACAAGCACAGAACATGTAAAAGGAGAGGTGCTATTGTTGTAATCAGAGAAAGGGACACAGGGCCCTGTTCCTTTGTTTCCCGTCCCTGGCCTTCTCAGAACAGTCTACACATACTGGAGCTAGCCCACACTGCTGTTTGTATAGATGGGAAAACTTAGTCCAGAGATGGGAAGTGACTTATCCAAGAGTTAGGATCAGAGTTAAGCCAGAAACTGACTTTTTTTCCTAAATTCTGACCCAGTGCTCATTTTACTGTTCTCTGCTGAGTTATACAAGGGTACTTCAAAAAGTCCATGGAAAGATTCATATTATCTTTTAATTCTGTTTTCCCGAGAGCTTTTTGAAGTACCCTCACATAGCTTAAAATCTGCTGTAACTCCTTGATTCATCATTTTTAACATCACGATGTAAAACAAAGCAAAACACTAATTTTTTTTTTATGAGGCAAAAATGGGGGGCAGGAGTTGGATCTCCTATCTCCAAACCACCTTTTCTTTTTTCCATACTTTCTTGCTTCCTCTTTTTCTTTTCTTTAGGCATCCTTAACATCTTCGTGAATCACTGTCATTTTCCAAGATAGTGATGTCATAGCAGTTGCCCTAGCATTTCTACTGTCTCTGAGAATCCACAGCAGGTCACTGAAAGACATCCTAATGTGTGTTGCAGGAATGTGGAGCTGATTGTGCCAAGTTCCAGAAAAGTGAGCTGGAATTCAAATTTAATCGGAAAGCGTTGGAGAGGCCATATACTTCGAAGCATTCCTGGGGGCAGACATACGGGGAGCACAAACGACACTTGGAATTCAGCCATGCCCAGTACAGGGAGCTGCAGAGATATGCCAAGGAGGTTGGGATATTCTTCACTGCCTCCGGCATGGATGAGGTGAGCCCTCTGCCACTGTCATTTGTTACTTTAACAGACAGGGGACAGCATATGGCCTGGTGGCTTTCAGTTTAGAGCCAGCTCCAGCCCTTTCTCACCCTTTCTGTGCCCAACCAAATGGGAGGCTAGCAGGTGCCAGGCCCAGTGAGAGTTTATGAGATGTCTACCATGGTTTTAAAAACAAGTTGTCCTATGGCCATACCACCCTGAACATGCCCAATCTCTTCTGATCTTGGAAGCTAAGGAGGGTTTGCCTGGTTATTACTTGGATAGGAGGCTGCCTGGGAATATCAGGTGCTGTAGGCTTTAAAAAAATAAAAATAAAGATGAGTTTATAAAAACAAGTTGTCTCTGGGAGTAGGGGGCAGCCACTGGGCCAGGTTCCTCCTAGTGGAATGTGGTCTGGATTAGGAGCTAGGAAAGCAGAATTTTAACAGGAGTCTGCCCCTGCTAACTAGCCTTGACTGACTTGGGTGGGTGACCTCAGGAGTGTGCAGAGGGGAGCAGCTCTCACAATGCTCCTGGGTGGTTTCAGGCTCAGCTGCACTGACATCCTGGAAGAGTCCAGCTAGTGCCAGGTGTCAGGTCCCTTCTGCTCTATGACCTGCCTCCTTACCGTTCCTTCATGTGTTCTTTTTTCAAATGTAAAAAAGTTTTAGTTGTAAAAATAACATTACAGAAAGTTTAGAAAGCAGGAAAAAGAGGAAAAACTGACCCATAATCCCTATATAGCAGCTCTTTTTGGGGCTTTATATATTTCCTCCTGATGTCTTTTTATATGCATGTTTTATTGCCTGCTTGTAATATTTGTGAACGTGTAGTTCTGTGCATGCTTTTTCCAGTTAACATTATATCACAAGCTTTTACTCCATCTTATGCTTAACAATTTTAATGGCAGTCTGATATTTCTTTTGGAGGATGTGTGTACTATAACACACCTAACTATTCCTCTACTTTTGGACATGAGTGTTAGTTTCAGTTTTTTGTGCTAATAAATAATGCTGAGATGAATGTCTTCTTTCTGAGTTTTGGATTGTTTCCTTAGGATAGCCTCTCAGAAATAGATTATTAGATGAAACCTAAGAACACTTTTTCTTGAAAAAGTTCAAGATTCTTTGGAATCCAAAC